GCAGGGCTCAGTGTCGTTGTAACTCATTGCTAAAGTAGCAACAAATCACTTATGCCCCCGGCAGGTGAAACCTAAATACACTACAGATGGATATAAAATCATACTACAGCGTTCACCATGGTTGCCTCTGGGTGCCAGTATTCTAGAGAATTCATTTTCTTCTTTATGTTTTTATGGAACTTTCCCAATTTTCCACTGTAAGCATTTGTAATTAGAAAAACAAAAGCTATGAATAAAGAATATTTTCTCTTTCCTTCCCCTTCTGGCCCAGCGGAAGCCTGGCACTGCCTAAGGCCGTTGTGGTTTCTTCCCCTGCTGAACTCCCACAGTAACTCTTGGGTGCAGATCCGTGTTTATTCATTGTTTTGGACACTCGTGCCAACTCTGCGAGCTCCTTCAGGACAAGGAAGGCATCTCCTACTTGACCCTCCCCCTCCGCTCACTCTGCCTGCAGGAGCTACTTCTCAGAACGTGCCTGGTTTGCTTCCGCCCGGGGTCTTCCATGCTTGCTCTTCCATCTGCCAGCAACCCCTCCTCCCCAGGACCCCCAGACGGTTTGTGGGCTCCCTGCTTATCAACCTGCAGTTTTGACTCAAATGTCACTTCTCGGCGAGGCTTTCCCTGACCACACGATTTGAAATTGCACATCCTCCCAGCACTCTTTCCCCCGTTCCTGCTTCATTTCTCCCTACGACATAGTTGTCCATCTGACACGCTGCATTACACTTCTTTATTATCCATCTCCTTACACCAGTAATATAAGCCCTATGAGGGCAAGGATTTTTGTCTGTTTTGTTCTCTGCTGTAATCTCACCACCTAGTATGTATGTCTAATATGGATAGAAGATGCTCAATAAATATTTATTGAATGAGTAAATACATTTTATAATAACAATAGTTACCACATACCAGATACTATGGTAGATGCTTAGTAATTCCCTCATTCAGTCTTCACAGTGTTTTGGGGTAGGCAGCATTATCTCTACTTTAAAGATGAAGAAACCAAAGCTGAGAGAGGTTAGGTAACTCAGCTGAAGCCACACGCTATCACAGGGCAGAGAGAGGGACTGGGATGCAGATCTGCCTGCTCCAGGCGCCAGGAGCTTTCCATTTCAGGAGGTCTCTGTTCTCACGGTTCAGGTGATGGGGCTGTCCCTCACTGTGCTGACACCCGGCAGGGATCCTGAGTCTTCACAAGGTGAGGCTGCTGCTTCCCTTGCACTGACATTCCCACTGCAGGGACCACGGAGCTGCTGCTCAGAGGTATCCTTCTTCAAAAATTGGCTTCTCTCCCAATTCGGGTCCCTTCATGTGACAAAAGGCCCATGAATCTATAAGAGGAGAAGCCAACTTGCCCTTCCCCCTCCTCACTGCCTCTGCTCTCTAGCCTGGGTGTTGTAGGTTACGGTATAAATGAGCAGCAGGAGAGGTTTTCTTTCCTTCTCTCTTGGCCCCATTTTCCCACAGGGAGGCTGGTTGCTTCCTAAGAAACTTCTGAAGACTAGCAAGGTGGAATGCCGGCAAGAACACAGAAGATTTAGGTTCAAGTTCTGAATCTGCTGCTCACTAGCTACGTCATGAGCTTGGGCAAGTCATTGAACTTGTGCGTTGACAGAATGGAAGGAATTATTCTTTCTCTGTGGTTTTCCCATAGTATCATAATGTTGGCAAATGCAGATGCATGAGACAATGCGCATATCATACTTAGCACCACGCCTGACATATATGGCTTAATAATGCTGGCTGCTATTGTTATTGGTCATGACTGGCTCGGGACCTGGGCAGGGCCTGCAATCAGCCGGTAGGACGCAGTGTGGGGTGTGGATAATAGCTCACCACTACTCCAATCACCCACCAAACTTTTTTCTAGAGATTCGGTCCTCAAGAGTTTGGAATGCCTTGTTCAAGGTCACATAGTTATGATTTTTATAAGGCCTTGATTAGGACACTTTTCAGAATACCTAACCTCCTTAGTACTGTATGTTTCTGCTGGGAAGTAATTGTTGCCCTCTCTGCTGGGCTGCACAATTTGAGGAATACTTTGCACAAACATCAATTGCCACCATGACCAAGGCATGAAGCATAATTATCTCAAGTGGAAACTATGATTGAGCCTGTGAATTGAGGCCTGATTTGCAAGGGCTATAAATGAGCTGCCACCTCTGGAGCACTGAGTCTGCTAGATGCAGGGGCTGTAACCAACCTGAGCCTGTTTCCAAACACCCATTCTCCAAGTTCCAATGGGCCACAAGTCCCAATTCTGGTGTCAAGATCCTTGCAGACTCGGTGGCTGTACTGAGATGTTCCCATTGTCCAAGACATGCTTCATAGTTTTCAAGGGCGTTTCCTTTACCGGCTTTGCTTTCTAGTTGGCGTATAAGTATGATTTGAACCAATCTATCTGCCACTACATCCCCAACAGCAATGCCCTGCTCTCCTCACCCACAGTGTTTCACCTAGGAAGATCTAGTTCTGTTTGTGCCTGAAGAGGAAGGAGATGGGGGATCCAGGCCTTTCTTCTCCCTCATGTGAATGACCATAAGCAATAGGAGAATTCATCTCTTGCCCTCACCGTGGCCAATGTCTGCTCTACATGAGCCCAAAGGCCACACTTTCAGTACTTCTGAGAGGCTGATGATGGCATCTATGACATGGGAGGTCTTTCATCCTGAGGCAAGGGTACGAAATTTGCCAGCCCTTTGTACCACCTGGAAACAATGCTGGGAATCTTCTTTGCAGGCCCACAAATGTTATTTGATTGTGCCATGGCATGAAAGATTTAATTTGAGGCTTAGCAGAGAGAGCAAACTAAAGTAGATCGAGGCAACATGGCCTATGAGGGCATGACATGATGAGGTTGAGCAAAAATACACCCTCTACATGTAGTCAGCACTCTGAGAACACTGGAGAGAGAGCAGAGCAGGGATCTATGTGCACAGATAATTCTCCAACTTTATTTTAGCCTCCTTTTTACCCTCCTGGAGGCCAGTGTCTTGTCATAATTACCTGGGCTACACAGTCCAGCAGTGTTTGAAGAAAGAACGTGAGTGTGAAGACAAATGACCTAAGTCTGGAGGGTGTCCCAAGAAGAAATGTAAAACAGCGAAAAGTGTGGGCTTCTGACTCAGTCAGACTTCAGTTCCAATCTTTGTTTTGTTATACACTATCTGTGAGACCTTTATCACTTCTCTGAGTCTCAGTTGCTCGGTGCAAAATGGAACAGATAGTATCTATCCTGTAAGATTGTTATAAAAATCATTAAAACATACGTAATGCACTAAAAAGCTGGCCCCTCTTAGGTATTGAATAAATGGCAAGTATTACCATCATTAACATCTGTAAAATAGAGGAATTTAGTTAATACCTACTTTGCAATGTGGTTGTGAAAAGTAGAGGAAAAAATGCCTTTGCTCTACAGTAGATGTTTAATAAACGGTACTGTTGTTAGTCCTGTCTTTGCCAGATGTAACATGTATGACCTTCAGCGAAGTCACCTCTGGCACTGGTAAAACAGGGGGTATTTCTACTCTACCTCACTCCCTTAAGGTCTGTAGCAGCAGCTGGAGATAGCTACACACTCGCTTGTTTATTGGAATTGTGATAACTACAATCACACACATGTTGGAAGCCAGGGACGGGGAACAATGTGCTAGTATTAAACACACTGGATTGGGGGCAAGGGACTCGGGTTAGTCTTGGTGCTGTCTTTTGCTGACCAAGTGACTTAGCCAAATTACCAAGTAATCTGATCCTCAGGTGCATAAACCACTGACCTCTCAGCAGCTGTGAGAAAATACAAATGTGAGAAATTCTCATCATTATCGTTCCTTGAGGGTAAAACCAGTCTTCCCATTTTAATCTTTGGAACCCAGCAAAGTCCTTGGCATATAGTGGGCACTCAATATTTTTGTTTGTTTAGTGAATTATAAACTGCACAGAAGTCACATTTTTAATCATTAGTAAACTTTTTTGCCCATAAGCTTATAGCTTTTGGTCTCAACCTGATTTGTTGGATCGCTGGGCCTGTGTCCCAAAGTATTTGTATTCCATGCTACTGTAACACACTTAGAAATGCTATTTGGACACAACTGAAAGCAGAAAAAAACTGGCAGTAAAGAGAGAAGGCAGCTCTTCTGCATATGGCAGCTGTAGGGGACAGTTTCACAATCCCCCTTACGCTCATCTCTGGTTTGGTTACCACCTTTCTATGTTCCCTACTATTCTATGTACCTATTTTGCAGAGTTTATTCCCAGAATGAAGGCGGTAGGCATGGCACAGGGCTGAGCTGCTTATGTAGATGACCCTTCATGGCAAGTTAAGAATGCGAGGAATGCCATATAAGTCTCCTCCAATGGGAGGTGGCAGGTGGAAAGTGGCAGGGAGAAACACGGATGAGGGCACTGGGCTTCCTGGGGCCAGGGGAGAGATCTTGAAGTGGAACTTCTTGGTAGCAGGGGACATCATATGAACCCTCCACTCACACTACATAGTGTTCCAAAATTGTTACAGTATTTGTTCTCTGAGGGCTTTGGTAGAAGAGTGAAGCTTGTAGAGGCTGAAAGAAGAGAAATGGAGAGGACCAAACACCAAGTCACCATCATCGTGCACTGTAATAAACTGCCCTGGAACAAGAGCACTGGCAGAGGCAGGGTGTTTTCCAGACCCGCCAGGTATCAAGTCGTCTTCCCACGTCACTGAGGAGCACCTGTGGTCTTATGTTATTTTGAATACCATCTCTGGCATCCAACTTCTTCCTCTTCCCCCACCCTCCTGAAGTCTGACTAAACATAACCTCAGCCAAGCCTGACCCAATCATCCCAGCTGGGTTAGGCGTCCCTCTGTAGCCTTCAACTCACCACACTGTAATTTATGGTTTACTTACTTACTGTCCAGTTCCGAAAAGTAGGACTTGTATCTTGTTCAACATTCTATTCCCGAATAGTGCAACATGCAAAAGAACATGCTCAACAAATGTTTAAATTTATTAAATGTACCAGGGTATACTTCTAATTTATTGCATTTTTATTTTTCTCTAGATATTATAATAGCTAAGAAAATAGAGGTACATGTCAGTCTGTTTTCTTTATACAATAGACAAAAAGTGTTGGGAAGCTAGGCACCAACCAGCTATTTTTTTCCTGGTACCTGATCATCATACTGCTGAGTTCCTTCAAACCATTAAACTGCAGCATTACAATGCTGCATAATTTCAAGATCACAGAGTGTCAAGTTTTTCAATCCATTTCACAAAATCAGCAAAACTCTACAACAAAATCCTACAGGAAAAAGTAAACCAATCTCATTTATAAATACCAACTTAACAGTATATTAAATTTAACAAAACGTAGCAAGATACAAAATCTAAATCCTAGTTACACAAATTAGACGTCTACAGAAAGAACGACCCTCCCCCCACCTATACTACTTATAACTCAGACAGCAGCTTCCATACCTATGGGGACCCTGCTGGCCACCTTTCCACTAGCCCTTACCAGGGGCGGATGCCGGCCCTAGCACTGGCCCTAGCCCTAGCCCTCATATTGGCCTCATCTGCCAGGGCCTCACGGTACTGCACTGGCCAGCTCTGCGGTTCTTTCTTAAGGAGCTTGGCCACAAACCCCAGGACTTTCATCTTGCTGGTTTCCAGGGCTTCGGGAACCCCAAGAGAATTCATTCCGGTGGATTGGTGCGAGGCACCCGCCTGTAACTGAGGTATCGCTGCTGCACGAAATCTTCCACAATAAGCCTCTTCGGGTACCCAAAGAGGAAGCGATACTCTGAGGGACGCACCCCCAACCGACGCAGCATCTCCCAGACCTGAGCCTCCCTGGCGCTATTACCTTTCATGTAGATAAGGCCCAAGATCATCATTAAGAGACCCAATCTGGGGCCATCTCCTCCCAGATCCTCCTCCTCCTCCTCAAGAGGTTTTAGTTTGTTGATCAAGATGTAAGTGTGGTGCCTGCAGCCAAGCTGTTTCAGCTCGAAACCAAACACATACCGCAGATGCTCTGCGGCCCTTGCGATGATTTCGGGGAACAGATTCTTCAAGTGTCCGATAACGTATTTCACTACCTTGGAACGAGTAATGGGACTCTTCTTCTTGTCCTTCACGAGCAGGAACTGCACCAACTCGGACACCGTCCGATCCAGACGGCGGCAGGCCCTGCGCCAGGCAAGACCCTCCCGCCTTTCGGGATGAAGGCAGGCTCCGCAGCCCCCTCCTCCCTGACAGCGCCAAGGTCGCCTTGGGGCGCTCCTGCAGGAGGGGGCTCGGGGCCTCCTCCTGCGAGGCGGTCAGGGCCTAGGTCTCACCGTCATGGCCGCCATCCTTCTTCCCCTCGGCCTGAGGGATGGGGAGACCCCCCGCTCTCGGATTTCTGCAACATGTTTTCGGGCAGGCAGATGCAGAGCGCGTACCCAGGCCGAGGGGTGTGCAAGCCGCTGCGCCAACCCCGGCGGAGGGGTTGGACAGTGGCTGGGGCGGCAGGAGGAGGACTAAGAGAGGTGATAGACGGGGCTTTGCGGCTGCTGGACGGCACCGCAAAAGGCTCGGGACAGTTGCCGCAACGCACCCAACGCCGAACCTGCGGCGCGACCGCCGCGCAGCCTCAGTCCGCGCCCGCACGCCGGCTCGCAGGGCCACTTCCGGCCAACTCAGCCAAGATGGCGTCCCGGGGCGCGTGAAACCCCGCCTCTTCCGGCTCCCTCCGGATTGCGGGATACCCGCTGGCTGTTGTGGATTCCAGGGCAGTGGGGAAGTGTACGCTCAGAGGTGCTGTGTAGACTCACAGCTGGAGTCGGGTAACCAGAGCTTTCTCATCCAAGACTTGCCGAGTGGGGCATGTTTCAGTGTACAAGGATGAAATAGGGATGGAGTTCTGGCTACGTCTTTTCGGCAGGTGCTTATTTATAAGAGTGTGTACCAGGATTTTGAGTTTTACTGTGGCTCCAGTGCAGAGTGCATGGAGGTGAAGGCTGGGAGATGTGTGCGGGCCAGTTAGTGAAGGGCCCTGAACAGGATGCTAGGGAGACTGAAATTTATTCTGAACATAATGGAAAAATACTACAGGGGTATTTAAGCAAGGGAGTATCTGGACCAGATCTGTATCTTACAGTCTCTGGTGGCGGTGTGAAGGATGGTTGGAGTAGGGCCAACCAAAAGCTGGGAATCCAGTTTGGAGTATTATTATAGTGCAGAATAGGAACTGAGACTTGGCCTTGTTCATTGGTGTATCCCCAGTGCCTAGAACAGTGCCTGGCACGTAGAGGCATTTCATAAATATTGTAAAATGGATGACGAGGGGGTAAGGATAGCAGATTCTACAGGGTGAAAGGAAAATGATAAGAGAGATATTGAGGTACAGCTGGAAAAAACAGTGACTGATTGGAGGAAAGGGGAGATTTTTTTGACCTAATCAGACTTAACTATTCCCATTACTTTTTTCTTTTTACATACTCTACTCTGAGCTTTCTTCCACTTCTTGCCTCTTTTTCTTTCTCTCTTTCATCTCTCTCTCTCTCTGTCTCTTCCTCTCTCTCCCTCTTTTTCTCTCTCTCCCTCCCCATTCCTCTCTTTCTTTCTTTCTTTCTTTTCAGGACTCAGTTTAAACATCACCTTTTCCAAAGCCTTCCTTAGACTCTATGTATGGAAGTTATTTATTGCCATCTCTGAATCACCATAGCAATTTGTATTTATTTAACATCCACTTATACAGACCTCCTTATGTACCAGGCTCTGTTCTAACCACTTTTCAAATATTAATTTGTTTAATTCTCATTAAGATAAGTATTATCATCATCATCCCCATTTTATAGATATGTCTTTCCTATGGCATTTGCTATTTACAAGCTATGTAATCTTGGGCAACTTACCTAAACTCCCTACCCCTCAGTTACCCTCTCAGTAAAATGGGTATAATTGTAGAAACAACGTTGTGGAACTTATGTGAAGTAATGCATATAAAGCATTTAACACAGTGCCTGGCACATATTGAGTGTTCAAGAAATGTTTGCTATTATTTATTGCATATTTTCAATGTGCTGATACTGTGCTAAGTATCTACTTGTATTAACTCGTTTACTACTCATAATAGCCCTGCTAGATTAGTGGTATTATTGTCCGCATTCTACAAGTGAAGTAACAAACAGGTTAAGTAACTTCCCCAACATCACATGGGATTTGAACCATATAGTATGACTTCAGAAACCCTGCTCTTAACCACTATATTAATAGATGTTAATTATTATTATTATTGACCCTACTCCACTTTGTATTATAATTATTTTTGTGCTTATCTTATTACCCTCCAAACCAAACATCCTAAAAGCTAGGGCTATGACTTTAACTCTTTTGAAGAGCCCCCTCGGAGTCAGCACTCAGTATATAATTGTCACCAAATAAATGATGGAAGGCTTTACTTTTTTTCATAGGAAATAACATTTATTTTAAGTAAGTATTTGACACTTAGGCTTTTCTAGATATAATCATGAACTCTTCATTTAAAAAACTTCTGAAAATATATACGCATTTATACTATTTGACTTATGACAACTAAAAGTGTATGGATGAAGTAGGAGGATGTTTATTATAGTCTAGCTTGAGGCTATTATTAGTTTCCATTGTGCCAAACATTTAATGTACAGTATAATTTAGTCCTCACAAATCCCTATTAGGAAAGTATTATCTTCATTTTACAAATGGGAAGACAGTGACAGAGAGGTTAAATCACGCGTCCCAAACCACCCATCTGTTAAGTGCTAGACCGGAAAGGAGAACCTAGATCTGTCTCTTCTGAAGACTGTACTTGTGACCACCATGCTGGACTGCCTGGTTATCTGTTTCTCCTGAAGGTAGAGAGAACCACTCCTACCCCAAAGGGTACTACTAGCAATAAAATAGTCCACTTACATACTTTTCTCACTTCAAGCATTGCCAAGGAGATACCCAGGAGGTATATGCATGGAAAAGAGCATCGGGAGATACATTGAATGGAAAGAATTTTGAGGGATAAATTAGCAGTAATATGACTGGATTTTAAAAACTGAATGAATAACATAATACTACTCATTAAAAAAAGGAACAACCTACTGATACAACATGGATGAGTCTGGCAGACATTATGTTGAGTGAAAGAAGAAAGATACAAGAGATTACATATAGTATGATTCCATTTAATCTGAAGTTCAAGACAGGTTAAACTAATCTATGGTGGTAGAAATTAGCACAGTGGAGGCCTGGAGTAGAGTTGACTGGAAGCAGGTATGCCTGAACTTTCAGGGGGTGATGACAATGTTTTGTATCTTGGTTTGAGTGTAGATATACATTTGTCAAAACTTATCAAACTGTGCCCTTAATATCTATGTATCTCACAGTATATGAATCATACCTCAAAAATTATAAAAATACAGTTTTTTAGTGAGGTATACTTGACATATAACAGTAGTTTCAGATATATAACATAATGATTTGATATTTGTATATATTACGAAATGGTTACCACAATAAGTCTACTTAACATCCATCACCATACATAGTTACAATTTTTTTTTCTTGTGGTGAGAACTTTTAAGATCTACTCTCTTAGCAACTTTCAAATATGCAATACAGTATTATTAACTGTAGTCACCATGTAAAAAAGATTTTTAAAAAATTAAATGAATAGCCTTTAGGTATAGGAGGTGGTGAGAGGTATGAAAGGTGAATGGACTTTCCTTGACCACCTGTTAATCCCTGGACACTATGATGTTGTACTGGAAGGGACCTAGACCATCATTTTTCCAGTTTTGATTGTGCCTACCCTGTACTGGACAGGCAGACTTTTAAAACAATCCTTGTCTAAGCTATTAAAAGGGAGGAAATGTTTATCTGTTTGGTCAGGGGCAGGGGTGGGGCAGCGAAACAAATACTTGGATGACATTAGATTGAGGGAGGATCCTCTGTAGCCTAGACTAGAGTCTTTGAAAGCCCACGGTGCTTAGCACAGTCTAGTATGGGGAAAGGGATAATAGAGTTACACCAGAAAAGCAGAATTGCAGGATGAATTATCCTGGAAAGGTTCAGCACTCTGGGTGTGAAAAAGGTGTCTCCTAGAGCAAAGCACTGAATTAGATCAGAAGACCTGAGTTCTGGTCTTCCTCCTCACTCACTTTGTGACCTTGCACAGGATACTTATCCTCTCTGGGTCACTGTTACCTCATCTTTAGGCCTGACAACCCATGCTTTGCCAGTCTCCACAGAGCTATTTTGAAGTTCAAGTAAGATGATAAATGTAAGCACACTTTTAAAGTGCTCTACCGTTAAGAAACAAATATAAAATGTTACAGACTTTTTTTTCTTTTTAAAGAGAAGTGGTAGAAAAATCTCGGTAATGAGTGTGACTGGCATCTCATGCAGACATTTTGGAATGAGCTTTCACATTCCTGGTTGAAAAAACCGTCTGGCCAGAAAAGATTAAATAAAGAAATGTCAAGTCCTGACACTCCATCTAAGGCCAGTGAATGCCTTGGTAGGGAGCCAGGGCTATCTTGTTGGATTCCTTCTAAACTTGGCAATAAAGTCCCCCAAACTCTTGAGTGCCTTCTTCATACAGATGCTGAGTAACATCTCACCCCAGCTCTGAGTGAGCCTCAAACTGCGTAGGTGCTGGCATCTTCTATATTTCTCCTGACAGTTTTGACAGCCGTGCAGCTGATCCAGCTCAAAGAAAGGATCAGAGGAAGAGCTTTGTCCTGTATCCCTGGGCCAGGGGCAAAATGGAGCCCAGTTTTGTCACAGCAGAATGGGCAGAGCAGGAGGCCAGGGGTCCTGAATGCGTGGCTGGGACTGAGGCAGGATGGCCAGGCGGATGATTTGATCTGACTTGGGTAACGAGAATTGTTTGTTACTGTTTGAAGAGCAATTGTGTAAGCAACAGTACTTCTGTGTTTGGCTGCCTGTGACCCACCAGTGTCTGTAACGTAATACCCAACCCAGAGGAGGAGCAGACCCTGGCCAGTGGGGGAGAGGAGAGATGCGGGGGATCAGGGCCCCCTTCTCCCTCCTCCACTGTCCCACCCCCTCTCCAAACCTCGAAGGAGAGTTGGCGAGAAGGCATTTGCCACCTGGACACAATGAGGCCCAGTGCGAGGGGCAGGCGCGAGGCTGGCCGGGAGCCAGGGCCCTGGTCTGAATGGCTGTCTCCAAGGGCCTGCCAACAGCCCATCTCTATCCCAGAGGGGCCGGGCCGGGGCCAGGGTGGGGGCCCCTCAACTCCCACCCCTGACGCCCAACTCACGCCATTCGCTGGCCGTGATCACAATGCGCGGGACACAGGGGCTTTGAGCAGCTGAACAGAGCCGTTTCCCCTCCGCTGGCCGCCAGTTCTTTCGGATTAGAGCGGCTCTCCGAGTCCCTTTGTTGGCTGCTTGTTATTCTGCACGCACCAAGCACTGTGCATTCATCTTTATTAGTTCTAATTGCTTCCCTATTCTAATGGGATCTTGATATTCCCATACAATTGAAAGGAAATGTATTCATTAAAATAATTCTTCTCCTAACTGCCGCTTCAAGCTGCTCCTCTAAGTGACATTGTCTCTCTCGCCACAGCCTGCTGAGGCCTCTTATTAAGACTCTAGTCAAAAGCCAACTTTGGGCAGCAAACTTTCCTCGCAGGAGTTTCCAGACACTGAAGAGAGGCCGCTTTTTAATCGGCTCACACACTGAAGTTGGAGGCCAGCTGGTGTAATTGGGGG